GCCCTTTCACCGCACCCGAGTTGGTTCGCGTTGGTTGGAGAAGACATATGCATACTCACTGGTCACCAAACATCATGCAAGCTCGGCTGGTAAAAAAGAGTAGGGAATCGAGCGCCAAATTCATTTTACTGAAGTACCCCTTTCCTTTCCTTTCTCTACTAAGTACCTCTCGCGAATAGGCATAATCCCAACTCTCTACGATTGTTCACAAAAAATCTAGTCCCAATGATCAGAAAGGTAAGCAAACCCTTCCACGTCGAGTTCCCATTCTGAGACCCCATTCTTCTCCATCGCAGCCTCTTCCTGCGTACCCATTCCCCTTCTCTCCAGGGTTCAACATCTCCCGCATCGCCCAAATCCCTCCCCTACCGCAATCCAAGCTCTCCTCTCCGTCTTTGGCTGCCATCCATCCCCGCAAGCTCTTCAATAACAGCGAAGACGAGAAGAACGCGTTGACGGTGCAGGCGAGTTTGGGGCTAGCGCTCTCATGTTGTGCTGGGAGTGTACGATTCCCGATGTATAGGGCGGGTCGTAAGCCGCGTCCTTCAATTGCTTGGTACCGGTCAAATTCTTCTCCTCCTCAACCTCTGAAAGGATTCGTATGATCATGAGTAGATGGATTTACATACCTCTGTCCCTCAGTAAATCATGATCTCGAGAAACACCAACCACTGCGGCACAAGAAAAAGTCGGGCATCATCGTCTTTTTTTGCATAGTTTGGTGAATGGCGACATGCAAAGCATCTCCTCGTCCGTAAATCCCTTCGCTAATCGGACTGACTCCCCTCTTCTCCTTAGCAGATGGTAGATGGTGAAATCAACAGCTATCAGAAGAACGCCAATTCTCCTTCTCGCGGCTTTGAGTCCTTTTCGCTTTGGTATAGACCCACATTGGGCGAAAAAAAACTGATAAATGATATGGAATTGGCCAACGTGGGGATCGAACCCAAGACCTTCGCGTTATTAGCACGACGCTCTAACCAACTGAGCTAGTCGGCCATTGTGCGTAGTTGGACGTGTTGAGAATATAGCTGGAATTCTCAAGGTGGCACATGGAGAAATGCAAGTGAGCGGCCCCGAATCATTTTGGCCTGCAACTGCAACCTCGGGGGGTCAGGGCCGTCACAATAGGAACACGCCCCGCCGTTTGTTGTGCGAAAGAGTTTCCGACATGAATTTCCGGGATAACATTAATTACGGTCAATCTATGCCAGGATCTGGGGCTGTCCTCCTAGATCACACCGTGCTTGGGAATCAGACGCCGTTTTTGCTTGGCTTTACTCCTCCTCAGGTGATGTTTGGACTTTGACAAAGGCTGAGACGGGGGAGACAAGAGACAAGCTGGTTTGCGGGCTTGACCATACCAAAACCTACATTCTTGACAATTGCTCCCGTTGTCGAGCGCTACCGGCTCGATGGGGATTCTCCATCGTTCGTACGTTTTTCTGTGTACATATGAGCTGGGCTCAAGAAATTGGAGTGTGGTTTGCGTGCATTGGATAGTTTTGTGTTAGCTTTCGGTCTCAAAGAGCCGTATACCGCACCTCGGTCGCTCAAATGAGGCTCCGAGGCTAAGAGTGGCCGCAAGGTGGAGCGTCCGGACCTCGAAGCCAAGAGGTAGATCCTCAGATCGCAGAGGGAACTTGTGAGGGGAGAACAAGCAGGAGTCGGGACTCGAGAGGGGGTCTCAGACTCGGGAGCTGTCTTAGGAACGGTAGATCAGAACTTGAGTACTTATGGCTTGGGAGATACAAGTTCGTTTGCAGGCCTCATCACGCATGAGAGGAATGGAAGAAGAATTGAACGCCAATGTGGATGTCCCGAATGGGCGCTAACACGGTCAATGCCTGCCGTGGTTCGATTTCTCACGCCGATTTAAATTAGCTTGTCCTCTAAACGTCACCTCGCTCAAACTTCTCGGCCTGCTGGCAATTTATTCGCGTCGATATCGAGCTACAAGCTCGCCTGAGCTGTCCTTCTTCAGTTTACTAGTAATCGGGAACGATGAAACGAATGTCCAAGACGTACTCATTCACGTCTCCTCAACCCAGATAAAGGCGGATGAAGGCAAGAACACTGCATTCAAGCTATACTTGATGCCTGGATGAACGATCGCGCGGGGGATGCATGGATGAATTTGCCTTCAAGATGCATACTCGGCTGGCGTTAGAGAGAGAGCACGGAGGAAAGGGCTTGGGTGACCGCGAACGGCGAACCTTCGTCACAAGAAGGAGCCGAAGGTAGAGTGTTTTTTTTTTGCCTTTTATTTCGCCACCTCGCCTTTACGGTTGTATTTATATAGAGTCTACTCGATCGAGAAGAAAAACTTCCTTTGTTCCCTCTGTCCTAGTCCTATCAAGGCGATGACTATGGTGTCCTTCGCCTGGCTGGTGGTGTCTCTTGCGTCCTTCGTCGTTGCTCAGGACGGCGCAATATCCGGCGCCCAGACAAGTCCTGCAGCTGCTGGTTACAGCTGCGATCCTTCTCAGTGCCAACTTCCAAAGTGCAACTGCGCGAGCACGAGCCCGCCTGGCGGGTTACAACCTGTATGTTGACCTTATCGACCTGGCTTCCTGACTCGCCCATTGACCTTTCTTTGCCTCGGTGGCCCGGTGTTAGTCGGAGGTCCCTCAGTTCATCGTGTTCACTGCGGACGATGCCGTTCAATCCTACACGCTTGGCTCTGTCAACCAATTCCTCGCCCATCGCAAGAACCCAAACGGATGCACACCGAAGATGACCTACTACACCTCTCTCAGTTACACCAACTATACTCTCGTCACCGGTAACCCACCATCTCGTTCACACCCAGCTATATCGGTGCTCATACTTCCTGTTTTTCCTTAGATTGGTATGTTGCAGGCAACGAGATAGCAGACCACACGTAAGTCACGCTTTTCCATTCATGATTTCAATCCAAACCAATCGTCCAAACTCCCTCCCTCCCCCTCTCTACAGCATGACACACGTAGGAGACCCCTCAGAAGAAGAAATCAACGGCAACCTAGTCACACTAAACGCGCTCGCTGGCATCCCACTCAGTTCGATCAAGGGGTTCCGTGCACCCTTCCTTAACTACTCGGCGGCTACTCTCCAGCGGCTTTACAAAGCCGGATTCGAATACGATTCCAGTGCTAGCGCTTCTATTCCCGTTACGGATCCAAATACCGACGCGTATTGGCCGTACACTTTGGATTATGGGATGGCGAATGATTGTTTGATGGTTCCTGGGACTTGTCAAGGACAGTTGAAGCTTCCAGGGTTTTGGGAGATACCGATGTATGCTTTCTTCGATAAGAGGGGGAATGCGGGTCCACATTTGATGGATCCGTGGTTGTGAGTGGATTTTTTAGGTCTCGAGTCGTTTTTCCTGGCTGAGAACTGTCTCCTTGGGATGCCTCTAGGGACATGGCTAACGGGAACGACAAAGTCATCGATTCGGATACGTTGGAATACATGAAGGACACATTTACTGCCCATTACAATGGTAATCGACAGCCGATTGGGCTTTACACTCATCCGATTCATCTTGCCGTATGTAGCTTGACCCTCCTCTTCCTATGAGCAATATTGATGTCTTGGCCACAACAGCTCGACTACCCTGGCGTTCAGGCGCCTACCCAAACAGTCTCCATGATAAATGCGTTCCTGGATTGGGCTCAACAGCAACAAAACGGTATATCGCTTCCATGTATCGAGTCGTCTAGACGTACTGATCGAGAATTCTCTTCAGTTTGGATCGTTTCCTCGGCTCAGCTTCTTGCTTGGGTCAAGAATCCCGTTGCCGTCTCTCAACTCGACTCATTCGAACCACTGAAATGTACATCGCCCGCGATCGATCCTAATACGAAGATCTGCAATGGAGTGCCACAAAATGAGGAGGGCTTACTCTCTCATTGCGCCTTCCCCGATTTCCCCTTCTACACTTGCGTAAGTCGTTTTAATTTTCCGTTGGCTTACGGTATGCTTCGAGTCAAACATAACTAATTAACATATCACTTCTTCCATCTTCCATGTTATGTTAGTATGGATGTCCTGTCAGGCAACCGAGCGTTAAGGAACCGAACCCGCCTCAACAAGTACCGACTGGTGGGCAGCCTAGATTTAGACGTACGTTCTCTCCGACTCCGACTCGGATTTTCCCTCCTCCTTTCCCTCTCCTTTCCCTTCCCGTCTCCCGCCCCCCTCCGCCCGCCGCCTGTTCGCTAACGAGAACGTTTACACGTTTCGTAGTGTCAGCGAACTGCTCGACAGCGTTCTGGGACCCTATCAACGGTAAATGCCTCTGTTCCTCGAGTCAATGCATGTTCGCGGACGAGTCGAGGCCGATTGGGGTATGTAAAATTTTAATCTCTCCTCGTGCGAATGCGAACGCGAATGCTAATGCTAACTTTTTTTTTCTTTCTGTTCTCTTCCATCCCCTTTCGTGTTTTTTTTTACACTTCGACACTCTAGCCTAATGGTGCAAACTTGACGGGCGGTGGAATCGGTAGTGCGTTTAATGGTTCGGGGCAAGATGGTCCGGCGAGGTATATGCCGTTTAATGATGCTGCCCGAGGACGAGGACGTGCCAAGGCGGCTGCGACTGTGTGGTTGGGTTTTGCGTTGGGTGTTGGTACGTTGGCGTTGGTGATGTAAAAAAAAGAGACTTCCATTCGGTGAGAGGTAGTTTGAGGGCGTTAACCTCTCTTCGTTCATTTCTTCGGCTTGTCAATGTTTTCTTCGGACGATTGATTTGTACCTCTCCATCTCCCTTCGTTTTGGATACCCCAGAGGTTCACGTATTTATTGGCTTGGCTTGGACTGGCTGTTTATTTATTTGAACCTCTTTCCTTGATTTTGTACTTACTATACCGTCGATTTGTTGAACTAATGTATCTCTATACCTACATTATCGTATCACCCTACGGACATATGGATGTCCTCTATACTTTCGTGAACCCTACTCAGAGCCCGCGCTTAGGATGACTATGATCCCTTGGTGAGAAGCGATCTGCAACGCTGGGATGGCCGAGTCGTTAAGGCGAGTGATTTGAATGGATCATTATCACTTGGTGTTTCACCGCGTAGGTTCAAATCCTGCTCCCAGCGTATTAAGAAGTACCTCTGCCAAGTAATTTTTTTCTGCTATACGTTCTAGCTCTCCGCCATTCGGGAAGGTCGGAAGGTCCATTTTGTGGACGCCAAGGAGGCGGAAATCACCCAAAATTTTGCTCAAAACCAGAACTGGCGATATGCTGAAGCTCTGACCGAATCTCCCAGCTTGTCCTGCTGCTCTCTCGTGTCTATTGAAGGAGCGATAGAGAAATAAAGACTGACCTGCTACCCAATCGGTTTGCGAATAAATCCCTTCGATAAATATGAATTCTCGAGCAAACTCGGTAATTAAGTCCCAGGTTCTGCATTTCGAGGACTTGACGCGCGATAAGTATACTCCTGGCTATCAGTGAACGTGGTGAGCTCCGGGGAGTTGGGGGATTGGGCGGTACGATCAAGGTATGTGGGAGCTGAAGATCTCGCTATTATCAATGCTGGGATGGCCGAGTCGTTAAGGCGAGTGATTTGAATCATCAATATCACTTGGTGTTTCACCGCGTAGGTTCAAATCCTGCTCCCAGCGATGCGTGACTATGTTGGTCTGTCGTTTTGTTTTGTACCCTACGTACCCATTAGGTACGAATAACACGCTAGCGGAGTAGCTCAATTAATTCTCTTGTTCCAGAGGAATCCGTTTGATCAGTTATCTTTGCCAAACCACGCGACTCGTCTCACCCTGGTACCTACTCGGCGAAATTGTGGGGTCTGTCGGTCGCCTCAAATCCGATTGGCAGGTGTAATCAGACCATCCTGGAGGATTCGAGAATGCGCCAGGGATTGACGCAGCGGACAGAAAGTCGGAGAGGAGCTAGATCACATTTTCACGCTTTGCGCCCTCTGCATATTAATGCATCAGCAACAGCTTGGAGCTCAATGTATCTGAATTCATGAGAAGCACCTATATTACCAACCGCCTATCTGAGTCATTTGGCAAGACGCTCAGTTGCTTAACTATACTACAAGGTTGAGCTTTCGATCTAATCCTCGTCTTCGTCAAACTCCTGGAGCCTCCAGCGGAAGTCCTCTCGCTCCAGCGACCCAAGCACCCGTGTCCATCTCCACCCATCATTGCAACGAAATACGCCACACTTGGTTCCTTTACTTTCGAGGGTCTCAAACCTCGGCAAAAGGCTCCTCAGAAGGATGAGAGTTGACAGTCTCGAGCTACGTAGCGGAATAGCCCTATCGGTCATGGCAGGGCTCTCGTCGAATACCAGTCGGACTTCCGTGAGCTCCCGCGTCGAGTTGGCTTCTAACGTGCTCAGTAGGAGCTCCATGACTTCCTTGTGGTAATATGATAATGGGGGTGTGATCTCCCATATGTAGAAAGACTTTAGGTTGGGAAGGAACACTCCTGAGCTGGTACCCACTGCGAAGGATGTGAGTTCAGCGAGAAAAGCTTCGATGAAAGTCTGTGGCTGGACTCTGTAATGCGAGGCCAAGGTTTCTACGATCCTAAATGATTCGAGGCTGGGAAAAGAGTGGAGAAGGTATATGATGCTGGCGGGGTTCGAGATCTGGGTGGATATGGACAAGTTCCTCAATGATTGGAGCTGGGGTAGAGAATTGTACAGAGAACCAGGTATCCCATCCCGAGCTACGAGGTCTAGTGTAACAAGGGACGGTAGAATGAGGGTTTCGAACCACGTGCGATACACGCTACTTTGTTCATACATCTTGATGCGGAGTGTTTCTAGCGTGGAAGAGGCGAGTTCTGGAATAGTCGATTGACCTTGCCCAATACCCCCCGTCAATGCGAGAGTTAGCGTGCGGAGGCTTCGCAATTTCCTAAGCTCCGCAAGAGGCTGTGGGTCGAAGCTGGAGCCGATGACGAAACAACTGATGGCGAGGGTTCGGATGTTGCGATGCAAGAACAGATTGTACCGGTTGAATATAGATGCAGAACATCGCACCCTCTCTAGAGCGGGGGCACGCTGGAGTGCCTCAATTATACCTGAGCGGTCCTCGTCTTGGCCCGTGTACCATCCTTGTAGGATGTCGAGTGCTATCAGGTTAGACAATTCGCTGGTGGTGAGCTGGAGTTCAGCGGGATCTAGGACTTTCCAGAGTCGCCGAAACCTTGAGAAAGTAGTTCGAAATGTCCGAATTCGCGGGAGGTGTGGCGCTATCAACGACAGGAGCGCTTCTGAATCGGGTTCAAATGGCATGCTCATCATGCAAACCTGAAGACACCCGCCTGCTGAGAGGTGTAGATATGATTTCAGAAGAGGACAGATATCCTTCTGATGCCTGTCACTGAGGTCTAGGTATATGGAGGACCACAGTGATGGAGTGGTTAGAATAATCTCCCTCCACGCTCTGCATACGTGGGATAACGTGTAGGGACCCACACGGGTATAGTTCCTAAAAACGTAGAGGCCTCCCCGTAGTGTACAGCAAATGAACGAAAAGATTTCGATCCATAGCTCATTCGGAAGCCAAAGGTTCAACATGACTGGGAAATGGAATCAGTTCGGATGGCACAGAGCATGAACGACTTGCAGATTGTGCTATACCGACATTCGAGCCCGTTGGTGGTGATGGCAGTTCGAGAGAAGCAGTGGGATCAGAGCTCATCGGACTCGCGTAACTCTGTACAACTCCGCACCGCTTTGTGTCCCACGACCTCAATTGACTTCGCGTTTGTGTAACAGCTTGAAGATCCACTTGATGGTCCGGAACTGTAAAGGAATACTACAGCAACTATCGCACCGCCTATAGAGTAGATCAGCAACTGCACAAGTAGTCATCCTGTTCGCGACAGTGAGATTTCCGAAAGCCGTCTGACTCTTGTCCAATTTTGAGCATTGTATTCAATGTGAGTATACGCCACTTGACGTTCGCCGTTTATTTACAGTCGTTCATACATCCTGGAGGCTTAACCTATACTCAACATCCTCTCGCACGCTAGCCAGAAGGTCATTTTTAGTCTTGTTAGGCTTCCACCCTAACTGATTCTTCGCTCGAGTACTTATACATCGGGTGTTGGACCCAAGGA